GGGTGATGTTGCTTTTACATAATAATCCTAGAAAATATACAAAATTAGACCTTCGCAAAGTTCAAAAATTTTAAGTTTGTAAGTAAAAAGGTAATTATAATATTAAGGAAAATATGGATGATAAAATCCCCTGGGAAAGAGATGACAGGTACCAAGATATTTCTAATTCGTTTTGTGTTATTTGTGTAACATATATTACTTTGAACTGTTTTTTTTGAAGTCCCGCCGGGTTCCTTTCTGGTACTTTCCAAGACAGAGGTATTTTCCGAACCAGTGGTATGTTAAACATAAGAGTGACTTTCAATAAGTATTATTTACAATTTATATTGGATAAAAAAAGTTTCCATTTCTATATCCAATGCGTGGGCATAACACCTTAGACTTTCTTTACTTGTGCATAAATATATTTTTTAAGATTAAACTGTAACTGTTCGGATAAATAATACCTACTTGTAAGTTTTTTGCCGCTTATTCTCTGAAGGTCTATCCCAGAAGAGACTTGTGGAAGGCGAAGGCGCAGCTATTTATTTATAGAATAAGAGTGACAAGCAAGTACATAGTGCACTTGATCTAAGTGAATAATATGGTGCATAGGAATCTACATTTACATTACACGTTACAAATCAATTGAGCACTAAGATTAAATGCCTCATATTTTTTATAGTATAAGGAAGACAAACGAGCACATAGTCCATCTGATGGTAAGAGAAAGCTGTGACCGATAGACATTTAAATTTATCCCCGATTAAGCAAAATGCAGATGCGTCGTCACCCCTGAGGACTAAGACGGAATGCCACGTTTTCAATAAAAAAAGGTCTCTGGTTCTCTACACTCACCATACGATACACAACAGCCTTTAGCTGCTATTTTACATCGGTATTCTGTGAGAACGTGGTCCTACCCCGGTTGAGGGTCCGTCATTCGTGTTACAACTAATATAGCTGCAGCGTGGCTCTACCATGTAAATACGTATCCAGTAAAAAGGTCTCTAGTTCTCTACAGTTATAATTACATCAAACACAGCAGCATTATGCTGCTATTTTATTAACTATACTTAGGCTTTAACACGTATATAAGCTTTATCGACGTTTAAAAAATGCTTTGTAAAAGGTAAAAAAAAATACGCCGGCTTGTGAGTTTGAAATTTGAATAGTAGAAAGTTAAAGAGAAGCTTCAAGATCTGATTAAGGCGATAAAGTTGAATCAAAAAGGATATATAAGATGATTCTTCAGAAAAACAATGTTAAAAAAGTGGAAATTCATGGGCTAGCATTGAATAAAGGGTATTTAACCTTATGTTAGTATAGAAAAAGCCGTGGTAGCTTATGGCCTAAGCACTTGCTGTAAATTTCGCAGTACGCGAGCAACCCGGGTTCGATCCCCGCTGATACCAATGAAATTGTTAATTGCAATTTGAAGTACTGATTTACCACGTGCTCGGCGGTAAAAGACAACATCGTGAGAAAACCTGCATGTCTGAGAAACAAGAAAAATATTTCGAAGACGTATGAAGTTCGATAACACACATTGGATCAGCACAGTGGATATTTTATTTCCCTAAAACCCTCACAGAAGTTATAGGAGGCCTGTGTCCAACAGTAGGACGTATATAGGCTGTAACTTTAGTAAAGAATGTATTTAAAATTGGATTCAGAAATTCCAGAACCAGTTAAAATGATAAACTCAATTTTACACATAACACATAAACACTCACGCCTATCACCCAGAGGGATAGGCAGAGACTACATACTTCCACTTAGCACGATCCTGACATACCTCTCTCGCCTCTTCCACATCCATATACCCATGCATACATGCTGCAGGTTAAGGGTACTCTTAATTTGGCAAATATTTAATATATCGCCAATTTGGTCGACAAACCTTCGCCTAGGACGTCTCTTTCCGACTCTTCCATTCACTTCTGAAACATATATTTGCTTTGTCAGTCTTTCATCATTCATTCTTACTACATGACCAAACCACCGAAGCATTCCTTTCTTAATCCTGGTCACCGCATCATCTTCCAAACCAAACTCTTCTTTTATCACGCAGTTTCTCATCCTGTCACTCAGATTTCTGTCTGTCTGACTGTGAATTTTACCACATTCATATTAATTTAAGGCAAAGACAATTAATATAAATAATTTGAAATAAAGAGTAAAGCTGCCGGAAGTGAATATACAAAAATGTAAAACAGTTGAGCTAAGCGTAAATTATAGTACCAAATAAATTATTTAATTTATAGATTAGAAACTAAACTGCTCGTAATTTAGCAAAAATTTTGAAATTTATAGCCTATATACGTCCCACTGCTGGGAACAGGCCTCCTCCAATTTCTGAGAGATATATAAGGTAAGGAAACGTGCACCGCGCTGCCCCAATGCGTGTTGGCGAACTTCAAACCACTTTGAAATATTCTTTTTCTTAGTTCTCAGATATATAGGTTTTCTCACGATATTTTCCTTCGCCGCCGAGCACGTGGTAAATCAGCACTTAAAATTGCAATTTAAAATTTCATTGGTGTCGGCGGGTTCGAATCAGGGTTGCTCGCGTATTGTGAAAATTATAGCGACCGTGGTTGTTCAAATAACATCGTAGAAAATATATAACAGTCAGCTTTCTCTTATTCGTAATCAAAATAATTAGAGTAGTATGTAGACGAAAACAAAAATATTTTTATTTAAAAAAGTAATGTACACTTTGTAAAAATACTATACTATACCAATTAATCGACTACAAAGATTCAGTAAATCCATCACGGGGCAATCAATATACTTTTAAAGCAATATCCCAGAAATTATAAAAAGCAAAACCTGTTTAATAGGGGTTATTATACTATAAATATTACTATATCTGATTAATAACACCAGGGAATGAGGTGATGGCTTTAAATGAAACTAACTTCACGGATTTTATCGCGTTTAATTTAAACTTTTTATTTTCGGTTTTGCTTTACAAAATTTGTTGTTACAAACAAACCGATTACTTCAGTGACGTGGGTGCTTTAAAGAACCCGAAACGTCGAGACTTAAAAAGTTTCAATTAAACGCAATAAAATCCGTAAAATTAGTCTTAGTTAATGCGATCACCTTATATTCACGTAAACATATAACTTACAGAAATCACAAAGTGATCGCTACTACCATAGTTTTTAAATTTTGTCATATTTAGTTGTACTAAATATTATATTGTAAATTAAATACATATTCCCATATATACATAAAATAGTTATAAAATAAAAATGATTTTCAATAAATATATACTGAATAAAATAGGTTTATTCTATTATATTTATGAGACGAAAATACTCTTGAGAAATAAAATAATTCACTTTATACGTGGTAGAGCCACGCTGCCGTTATATTAGTAGTATAGTTGGAGCACAAATCGGTCGGCTCGACCAGGGAGGACCACGCTCTCACATAATACCAGCGTGAAACTGTAGCTTAATGCTGCCGTGTTTCGTATGGTGAGTGTAGAGAATCGGAGACCCTTTTTACTGGAAACGAGGCATTCCATCTAAGTCCTCACGGATGACAACGCATCTGCATTTTGATTCGTAATCGAGGATAGATGTAGATGTCTATGGGCCACAGCAACCACTTACTATCAGGTGGACTGTGTGATCGTTGGTCACCCTATCCTATAAAAAATAAATAAATAAATGATGAATGAAGATAAGAGGATGGTAACAATCGAGATGGACCCTTAGAGAGTACACGATCTATACCGCTTTGTTAATTAAAATATTTAAAACAAATCCTTTACATAATGAATGAATGAAATGTATGGAATTTATATATGAATGAATAAAATAATAAAATAATATGCACTGATAAACAAGAGAAAAATAAACAATTTATAAAAGGGTATAATTCCGGCCTATAGCTTATAAGCGCTTTACCAGGCAACCACATTGCAAAGTAGATACATATTAATAGACGTATTTGTATTGTGTGCGAGATTATCCCGAACGGCAATCAGTGATTGACTGTTTCACAGGCAAATATTGAAATGCGATCGTTTTATCGATGGAGAGATAATCTGCTTTTGGATATGAATGGTTATGTAAACAACGCTTGTCATAGCAATTGTCAATCAAATCGATAACGGTACAAGAATGTGATCATACGTTAATGCATAATGAATGTTTATTATGCGAAATATTATGTTTTATTTTTTTTGTTTTTCCTTTTAAATGTTACCTTTTCTGATGAATTCCGAACAGTACAATATTGGCATGGGAATGGGAATGCAAAAGCACACACTCACTGCTTCTATCTAATTGAATTGTTTTTTTTTTTGAATTAGAGTGACAAACGAGCATACAGTCCATCTGCTGGTACTCGTATGTGTATGCTGTGGCCCATAGATATCTAGATTTACCCTTAACTAGATCTCCACCCAGTTTCGTCGGTTTTTTCTGGAAGTTGACAACGGCACCAACTAACGAGTCCGGTTGTGAATTTAAACCATTCAGGGGTCCCTGGATGGTTCAGGTGCAGTGTCAAAAGCACAGAAGAAAATCGAAAAACTTAAGATTTCAAAATTTTATTTGAAAATCATTTCAATCACTTTGATTAACATACCAAATATAAATATAATAGATATAACAAATAATAACCAACCATCTGCTAATCGGCTCCACGACTCAGTGACTTTTTATTAGGTTGCGGCGCTGAGGACCGCAAGTTTAAATCCCGCACGATACAAATACTTGTTAATTATAATTAATAAGTAAAAATAATTGTTGAGGCTCTAGATGTTTGTCTATAAATTGAGTAAGGTTGCTTGAATTAGTGAAAACAATTGTGAGACACTCAATTATATCCTGCTGCATTACAATTGAGCAGCGCGGCGCGGCTGTCTAGTCTTTACTCTACACCTTATCAAAATAATAGATTTTGCCCAATAATCGTCGTTTAACAAAAATTAAGACGTGCTATCTTTCCCTTTATAATACTTTTTTTAATTAAACGTTGAATAAAACTATTCTTACCTTTTTCATATTCAATGTCTTCGATTTGTTTTTCTTCTGTATTGTCTGTTGATGAAGGCACGGCATCAGTCACTTGATTAGCGTTTTGGGAAACAACTGATTCACTTAGAGCTGTATCAGCAGCAGTAGGTATAGTGTCTCCTGCTGTCGACTCTGTATCGATCGATGTTATATCTGTAGTGATTGTCGTGTGTGTGGGATGAATTAAATCTTTGTAATGGACAGTTTCAGTTTCGAAAGAATCTGGTTCTGGTGTGGTGGTTTTAATCTTAAACCGACGCTTATTCGTCCTCTTTTTTGGAAAGAAAAGCGTTGGTTCACCTTCTTTGGAGTCATTATCTTCAGGCACTAAAGATATTCTTACATGTTTTTCTTCTTTAGGATTAAATTTAACATTATATTTCGAGGAGAATTTTTTAGAATCTTTATTTCTTGACGTCTTATCTCGTTTTGGTTGAATAGTGGTAGTAATTTCTTCGCTATCTTCATATTTGTCTAAAATGTATGCATCTGGGTTTTTAAATACAGAAAGTATTTCAGATGATCCAAAATTTTTTGCTGCTTTCAAATCTTCTTGTGACTGTGCTGTTGAATGATGCGGTTGTTTTGCAACAGTTTTGTATTTATTTTTTACATCAAACACTTTGTCATCATATTCATCATAATCTGGAGTTACTTTTTTCCATTTCGAAACTTTGTTGCTATATTTGTCATATTGCTGTCGTGGATGTCGTAAATAGTCCCTATCTCGTTCTTCTTCATACATTTCTTCTTCTTTAACTTTTTGCGATATCCGTCTTTGTTCTTCTGCGTGTCGTTCTTTCAGTTCGTCCACACTGTGTAGTATTTTTGCTTTCTTAGCCTCTTCTTCTTTTTGCTCTGCTGTGCTTTTATTCGACTTTTCCTTTTCCGGAACATCTTCATCATATTCGATGTCATCTTTATCTTTATGTGATTCCTTACCTAATACTTTGGCATCACTGTTGGTCGTATCTTTTGCACTTTTTATTTCTTCAGATTTTTCCTCTTTCCCATTGTTTTCACGTTCTTCACTTTCTTTATTCAATTTCTCCTCATCTTCATTGGGTTCTATTTTTTGTTCAGATTTTGTTAAAATATTTATCTCGCTAATCTCTGCTTTCCTTCCAGGATCTGATTTCTGTGAATTGATATTATCGATCTCAGGAATATCTGACCATTCTTTCTTTTCAAAATAGTCATCACCAGAATTTTCTTCTTGTCCCTTGTCAGCGTATTCTTCACCTTCCTGATCCACTAGTGTTTTCAACACAAAATTAGCAGGAGGGGCTAATCTCTTTTTTGGTTTTCTTTTCGATACTTCAACAAACTCACCCAGTTCGTCACCTTGTTTGTTCTTAAATGGAACCCAATCCGGATAGAAATCTCCTGTAGTCTCACGTTTAGTCACGTTTTGCTTTTCACTTGCAGAGCCAATGCTTAGAGAAGAGGATTCCATAAAAAATAAAAGAAAAAGGTACGTGAGTATCATCTTTGTGCAAAAAGAAAGAATTGAATTCCTCATAATGAAATCATTATTTAATAAACACGCGACCAGAGGTGGTACCGATGCGGCTTCGCGACGCCGACTGTTTTCATTCGTTTAACTACTATTATTTATATTGTTTATAACGCGGATCTCTCTGGTGACGATGATCGTAAGAAAGAATGGATTCAGTTATTTTTTATTCGACTTATTTACATTATTTGTAATTGAAGAATTTATTAAAGTTTGTAAAAACTATTCCAAAGCACCATCCTTTTTCAAAACTTATTTTATTATACCCAGTCTTTTTCCTTAAATACAACTATTTATTAAATTATAGATTTATTTCATTGGGTACGACACATAGTCAACATTTTTATTCAGCATAAAAACTTGTACAAAATACAAATTTCTTACTTTTTTTTTAAATTTTACGTTAATGTCATTGTCAAGCAATATATGTAAACATGATGATGTTACTTTAAACAAAGAATGATCATTATGTCAAAGACTAAATTCAAAAAAATTGTAATATCCATGACATACTGTTTCGAATTCCTTGTAGATTTACTTCACACGTTATTTATTGTGGCTAAAATTAAATAAAAATAAATTATAAACACCGTATTTTTTTACAATATTATGTATATTTGATGTTAAAACAGAAGGGATGACTGTTAGTATTTTATAAAGTTTCTTGTGAAGGAGTTATGGATAATCAAAATATCATTGCCTTTATGAAACTAGTGACCTAATGGAATGTGACTATTGCAGTCCATGGACAAGGCGGCCAACTTCATACAAACAAAGGCTACAGATGCGTTGTCTTTTCTGTGTATTATGATGGAATACCTAGCAGCATTTAATTATACTGGCTCTCTATACCCTTCATACCTGAACACATCAATGCAAGCACTGCTATTTGGCGGCAAATATAGGTGGTACGTACTCAGACAGACTCCAAGGCAGGAAAGGAGTTTTTCCACTGATGATACCACAAAGCGATATTTACTGTTTGTAGTTTGTAAGTCATTCCGTATTAGTATGCTATTTTTAGAATTTAATATTAGCTCATCTATGGAGTGTCCGTCTACTAAATAGAGTGACAACACGGTAGTTAATAAATGCGTAGGTGTATTTAGTAGGCGTAGGTCTAAGTATTGTGGCAGTTTTTTTAGGGGATACGCATTTTATGCTTTGATCATAATATAGTAAATTGTGATGAATATAGTGATATAATGCAGAGCTATCTCCTTTATTACTATTTATTATTACCAGTGGGATATATTATGGAAACATCTTAAATACAAAAAAAATTTACAAGGACTAACGTACAGAGTCAGACCAATCAATTGTAAACCCTACAAATACGTGTTCCGTGCGGGATTAGAACCTGAATTTCATTGGCTTATATTTATCTGCTTATAATGTTCATAAACTTTGCAAAACTGAAGTAAGATATATTAAAAAATTATATAATTTTATTAACAACAAAAATTTTATGAAATTGTAGTCTTATCCACACAATTCTTTTGTTATTTTCTGGGGAATACCTTGCAATGTACAAAATCGAATTGCAGCGTAACTGTAACGGCGTAATGAAATTTAACTGTCCGATTCTTTTACAAATAGAAACAGAGATCTTGTTATTAAGTTACGTAATTTTTAAATTATTTTTTTTTAAATAATCGCTATATTGTTTTGAAAAAGATTTATAGTTGCGTAAGTTCAAATTTTTGAAAAAAAAAGAAAAAATAAACAATATACGGGAATAATTTGCATTGAAAAATTGTTTGATATACATGTCTTTATATGGCTTATTGAATTAAAATAAGACAAATGTCAACAGCCTCTTTTCCGTTTCTATCTCTTCCTGCTATTCAATGGCGATCCAGACACTATATTATTAGTGCAATTGTAAAGACTGTTAGATATGCTATAAAATAGTTATATATAACCACATAGGCTTCCTTGTTTATGGACGAGCACACGGCTCACCCTATGGTAAGTGATCACCGTCACCCATGAACATCTGCAACATCTCGGGAATTGTAAATACGTTTCAAGCTTAGAAAGGATAGGATTTTCTTGAAGGTACCTAAGTCGTATCGGTCTGAAAAAACGAGAATATTATTATCGTATATTATTCTTGTGGACGTGCGAGGCGGAAAATTCCGCGTAAATTACACTTTAGTGGACCACCAACCGTCGAGATAATGGCGATGGAATTTTGAGTACTGTCGCGGTGTACGATGATGAAATTATTAATCGAAACAATTCCTTCACTTTTCATGGCATACACGACAGAAGAGGTAAGGACGAGATGCAACGTCTTTTCACAAGGCCAGTATTGTATATTAAGTTTTCACATTATTCTCATTTATCATGGAATTTTAAGGCCAAAAAAATATTCGCCGCATATTCACAATGCATATTGGCGAACTTCTCATGTCGACATTTTTTAAAATTTTTTAGACATGAAGGTATCCTCACAATGATTTCCTTCACTGTCAAGCACGTAGTGAATCTTCAAAATGCAATTAACAATTTCATTGGTGCCAACAGGGCTCGAACACGGGTTGCTCTCGTACTATGAAATTTACAACGAGTGCTTAGTCCCCATGCTGCTGCTGGCGATGAAAAATTGCGACAACGCATCTGCATTTTGATTTGATGATCGAGTATACGGGCAGTATCTATTTTGACCCTTTGGTGAAGCCGTGCTGCAGTTATATCATGGTTGTGGCACGAATGGGTTGGCTCGACTGTGAGAGGCCTTTGTCTTTCTTCCTTTCCAGCATTAAATAAGAGCTTAATGCATTTTGTATGTGTGTAGAGAATCGAAAACCCTTTCCACTGGAAACGAGGTATTTCATCTTAGTCCTCAGAAGTGATAATGTATCTGTATTTAGATTTCAAATTTAAGATAGATGTAGATGTCTATGGGTGACTGTGTGCTTGTTTATCACCCTTATACTATAAAAATTACCATAAGAACTGTGAGATTCTTGGTCTTATTTAATGGAAGTCAAAGATTTTCTCACATTTCTCGTAGGCGTCCGTAACTCCTACTAGAATAATGGAGTGTTGGATTTTCTTGTACCACCACCACACGGAAATATGATTCTTACACTGTATTTCAGAGCAAGCAATATGATTCTTACACTGTATTTCAGAGCAAGCAATATGATTCTTACACTGTATTTCAGAGCAAGCAATATGATTCTTACACTGCATTTCAGAGCTAGCAATATGATTCTTACACTGTATTTCAGAGCAAGCAATATGATTCTTACACTGTATTTCAGAGCAAGCAATATGATTCTTACACTGCATTTCAGAGCAAGCAATATGATTCTTACACTGCATTTCAGAGCAAGCAATATGATTCTTACACTGTATTTCAGAGCAAGCAATATGATTCTTACACTGCATTTCAGAGCAAGCAATATGATTCTTACACTGCATTTCAGAGCAAGCAATATGATTCTTACACTGCATTTCAGAGCAAGCAATATGATTCTTACACTGTATTTCAGAGCAAGCAATATGATTCTTACACTGCATTTCAGAGCAAGCAATATGATTCTTACACTGCATTTCAGAGCAAGCAATATGATTCTTACACTGCATTTCAGAGCAAGCAATATGATTCTTACACTGCATTTCAGAGCAAGCAATATGATTCTTACACTGTATTTCAGAGCAAGCAACAATGAACATCGAATTATTTGTGGGTTGCCGCTGTCGAAACAAAATTGCAAGCGATACAATTATTTCAGCTTCGATTTGTTATTTTTCCGAATCCTAGCGCAGTTTTTGAAAGGTGATGTTGAAAAATGTCTAGTAGTCTCTTTACAACACACTGTACTTATGTCACTCAAATAATTGAACTATCGCCGTTTCGAATAGAATAGAATAATTTTCTTATTCAACGTAGATTACAAGTAATTCTTACTGAAAGTCAATATTTTACTTTACCACCGGTTTGAAAAAAAACCTCTGTCCTGGGAAGAACCAGCAAGAAACCCAGCGGGACTTCTTTTAAATAAATTTTACAAAGTCAAGGGTCACAAAATATTTACAAAATTTATTTTAGAAACCCAGGGGTTATTATCAACCATGTTTTCATTTATATCATAATAACCCTTTTTCGGGACTTTTTTTAGGATTTAGGGATTTTCAAGATACACCTACTCTTTTTTAAAAGCCGGCTACGCAATTCCTCTGGTGTTGCAATTGTTCATGGGCGGAGGTAGTCGCTTATCATCAGGTGAGCCACGTGTTGGTTTGTCCCCTTTTTAAAAAAAAAACTACAATGTTGAATAGTTTCGTTAAAAGATTCATTCCCTATTTTTCCACCCGGGGAGAATTTTTTTTACGAAATTCATACGGACCGGCCCTAAAAGAGCTAAAGGGGAATGAATGATCACAGCGTTCACTTTTTATCGGACAAAAACTCAATCGATAAACTTAAAAATAAACTCAGACATAGCGATGACGTGCTATGTCTGAGTACGTATCCATGGCCTAATAGTTTTTGAGAGGTGGCGCTGTAGGCCACCGGGTACCAATCCCCCACGCAACAAGTATTTGAATAGCCTACAAATAATTGTCACGTGACTGATTGTTTTTCCTTGCACAATTTATGAATTTAAACTACTTCTATGATTCAGAAGAAATATAAAAACTACAATAACTGACAAAAGATGGCAGCAGCCACATTCTATCACGCGAACACATGCTCGCGTTGATGTAAAAAGAAGCACGCTGTCAGATTGCGCGGATAAATTCCACTTAGACGAAACTCTTCAGACTGTAACAAGACAGATCGCAAATTGATTGCATCACCTTTAAAAAAACTTCTGTCTTACAAAGTGAATTAATGAATAACGAATAAGTTTTTCGCTGTCGACACTCTTTGTATTTTTATTTGAAAAAAAAACCACTTACCATTAAACTGATATTTTCTCTCGTCTCTTAGGGAAAGAATCATCATCATCATCGTTACAGCCCTTCAAAAGTCCACTGCTGAACATAGGCCTCCCCCAAGGAATACCACAAAGCACGGTCCTGAGCCACCTGCATCCATCGACTTCCTGCATGTCTTACCAGGTCGTCACTCCATCTAGTGGGGGGTCGCCCTACACTACACGTACGGGTGAGGCTGCCGGCCTTTTTTTCCCATCGGTTATCGGTTCTTCGAGCTATATGACCGGCCCATTGCCACTTCAGCTTACTAATCCGTTGGGCTATGTTGGCCACTCTGGTTCGAATATCAAGGAAAAGAATGTTTAGGTACAATGGCAGGAGATCCGATGGTCTTACTTAGGTCCCTTTGGAGAGAGGTAAAGTCCTAGTGTGGGATACTACTTGCGTAGACATTTTTGCAGCCTCTGGCAGGATGGTGATCTAAGTAAGTGACGCATATATGTGTATCTGAGAGGGAACACTATATATTTGTGATATTTGCTGTAGAGGTTATCGGTCTGTGCGGTCCAGGTCCGATAAAGTTCCTAAAGGAACTGTATCCACCACAAGTCGTCGTTACTGGTGATAAGAGGGCGGGTTCTTTTCTCGCTCAATGTCTAAGTAAAGCTATTCAGCGAGGAAACGCAGCCAGCGTTGATAATTAAGATCTTAGTTTTAATTAAAGGTATATATGGCGGCGGCGTCAGCCAGATCTACTGGCGGTCCCTAGATGTCGCACTAACTTACTGCGAGAGGCACCCCTGATGCGAGCGTTTCGAACATTAAACCTGATTGACAGAGAAACAGATTTATTCTGTTGTACTCTGAACGAATTGACAAAACTTGCTTTATGGATAATTAGCTATAAGTTAATATAGTAATATAGGTAATATTGGATTGTAAATAGTGCTTTATCTATCGCATTGGGTAGAAACCTGTAATGTTAGATATAAGTTGGTTGTAAATAAATAAATAAAATAAATAAATAAAATTTCTTTATTATGTTTTTTAATTTTGTATATTTATTTATCAATATTTTATATTTGTTTATATATACAATATTGATATATTTATAATCAATTTTGTATATTTATTTATATAATTAGGGTGACAAACGAGCACACAGTCCACCTGATGGTAAGTGGATCCTATGGCCCACAGACATCTACATTTAACCTCGATTAAGAGTCAAAATGCATATGCGATGTCACTCCTGTAGACTGAGATGGAATCCCTCATTTCCACTAAAAAGATTTTCCGGTTCTTTACACTCGCCATACGAAACACAGCAGCGTTAAGTTGCTATTTTACGCTGGTATTCTGTGAGAGCGTGGTCCTTCCCCGGTCGAGCCGACCCATTCGTGCTACAACTATACTATAGCTGTAGCATGGCTCTACTACGTAAGAATCTTTCGATAATCTATGCAATAATTAAGTTGTTTGTAAAAACAATCTACAGTGAATAGTCTCTATACATAGTGAATATCTACGATTTTCTGCCCTCACCATCCGAAACACAGCAGCGTTGAGCTGCTATTTTACGCTGGTATTCTATGAGAGCCGACCCCTTCCTGCTACAACAGTCAAAAATTGACTGTGCGCTCATTTGTCATGATTGTATAAAAAATCTAAGAATTACGATGTAGAATACTAAAATTTAGAGGAAAACATTAACCCTACTTGACGTTTCAAATTAAACTAAATACCATGTTTGAAATTAGTCAATAGCGCGCTATTAAAGTTCTATTGCGTTTCCAATTATGAGCAAGCAAAGCTGCCATGAGGGTCGAGGTATTTCACCGACTATTGCATGTAAAACGGTTCAGGTTAAAGCCGACAGTTGAAGGCCATGACCAACTAACTAGTTGGTCACGGCGTCAAAGTTTGGAAACCTATAGTTTTTTTGAAATAAAGAAAAAAAGGTTGTGCTATCTAACAACGTCTCTAAGCAATCGTGCCGATGGAACGAATTTTGTTGACATTGTAATTCGATTTGGAGGAACATTGCTGAATATTTAAATGGCGTGGCGCCACTTTGAGATAGGGGAAAGCACTTTATTTGTTGTTTGAGTAGGATACTTAGCTTTTCGGCTTATATTGACGTATAATATGACGTTGAAATAACTTTTTCAACATTGTGCTAAGAATAATAACATCGTTGGACTGCCGAAAAGATCATAGAACCACTTTTTTCGCTAGTGTGACATGCGTTTTAATGACTTTTTTGTTATAGAATTTAGCGCACGCGTGCAAAACATCTCACGTATATTTCATTATCGTTGGTTGGTTTTATAACAAAAAAAGAAAAGATGACTTTCTTTTTAAAGTTTTAATTTTGTAATTACATTAATTACTTCAATTATTATTAATCCTAAGTTATTATTCTTAAACTTTTAAAATAGTGTGCTCCATAGCCAAGTCTTTACATTTAAAGAAAACAAATTTATGATGCTCTTAGATGTATTGATTATATACTCGTAAACTACCTCTTAAAGTTAAAAAAAAGTTAAAGTTACAGCCTATGTACGTCCCACTCCTGGGCACAGGCCTCCGCTTATTTCTGAGCGGGTTTTTAGGGCAAGGGATTTTCCGCCGCGTTGCCTCAATGCGTGTTGGCGAACTCCACATGTCTTCGATTTTTTTTTCATATTTCTCTGACATGCAGGTTTCCTGATAATGTTTTCCTTCACGGCCCGGATCACGGACGGCGGGGATCGAACCCGGTTTGCTCGCATACTGTGAAATTTACAACGAGCGCTAACCGTCTGAGCTACGATGGCATAATTAATAATAAAACTGACAAAATGAAATACAACTAGAAGTTTCCATTGAATTTTAACTATAATTTAACAAAATCAGATCAAGCTTTATGTTGATCAAGATTCATTTTGCAACGGCTTTTGAAGAATATTTTACCGGCATTACAATATAGATTGAAGTCACTGAATTCCTCTCATACTGTCACCGAGACATTACTGAAACAAAATGTAAATGTCTGAACAAAAGAATTGGCATTTTATAAAATATAACCAGGTGGTATTGTAAAATATTTCAAGACAACGCCTTTAAGAACAATTCAGGTGATATTATAAAATATTGAAAAAAACCGCAGATTTATGATGGATTTCAGTCAAAGTTATTGCGTCTATAATGGGTGCAATCGTACCGCAACTTACCGTTATTTTAAATAATAATATAGAATCTGGTCTGTTACTGTACTGATTTAATAAAACATTGTAAAGTTTTAACTTAAACCGGGTAGTACATTTGAATTCACTAATTTTAGACCTATTTCTATACTGACTACGCTTCGTAAAATTTAAAAAGAAATATTCTAGATCACTTGTTAAGTTTTTTTATGTAAATAAATTGCTATTACAAGGGATCAATTGGTAACTAACGCCAGTGTATAGTTTATTAAAGGCTTACTTTCTGTACATGGGAGAAGTCGCAAGATGCTTTAGGAATATTTTGTGAACTTTCGAAGATTTTCGACTGTGTTCACTGCAAGACATTAGTCAGGAAGCTGCATCATCTTAGTGTAAAAATATCTAATGCTTTGACCCAGTTTCAATATATATATATATATATATATATATATATATATATATATATATATATATATAAAAGATATATTTTTTCACGATAAAAATAAAAATGGTCATATAACTTTTTACGATAAAGTTAATGTTTTCGGAGTTATGTATTTTTAATTGTTTGAAAAAAGCGAATTCGAATACTTTTCTCT